CTGTCGCCTTCTCCGGCGAGCTCCCGTGGCGACTTCCTCCCTTCTTTGTCGTCTAGGGCTTCGGAAATTGGGAATGACTCGGTGGTTCCGTAGCTCTGCCGCGGTAATCGGCAATTTATTATTTTAATTTTATAAACTATAAAATATTTTTCATCAATTGTAATTATTAAATTTAAATTTAAATAATTATTTGCAGTTGATTAATTTGATAAATTGATATTGCCTATAATTTCATTAGATTAAAAGTATGAACTATTCTTTAATTATTTTTATAAAATATTGATTAATGATTAAATTATAACATTTAATTGCAGAAATTGTAGATAAATTAATTTAATTCATGAATAATTTAATTAATTAATTTTGTGAACATTTAACACGGCAAAATACAGCATAGTTAAAATTATATTACTTTTCTTAATATTTGTTTAATTGTTAATATAATAAATCAAATAAATTAGGAACTTCCAAATTATGGATATGTTCCTCTATCAAAGAGATGTCAGCGAATGTTGACCATAACATTGTTGTCAAACTAACAGCGCCAATTTCAATCAACAACTCAAGGCTCGTTAAGTTCTTGGATATGTTAAATATCAAACATATGTCATGCAAATAGCAAGCATATAAAATGCTAAGTGTAAAGTATATCACGTTATGTGATTTATAAAAGCAGGTTTCGCATTCCTAGGTGAACACACAATGTGTCGGTTGATGAGGGACTTGATCAGCATACCACGTCTAAATTTTTGGACCATCTTAACTCCTCAAGAGGGCCGCCCGACCGCAACTCATCGACCGATTGACTTTTTACTTTGATAGGCCCGATCACCATTCAACCAATCGCCTTGGCCTTCAAATCAAGCTCAATATCGTTCACCAGCCGGTTGTCGTCATATTTGCATTCAAATTGTAATATTGATATGATAGACATCATTAAGATTAAATTGTATTAAAAACAATTTCCATAATCGTTTCCTACTTTTTAAGCTGTACAAATACACCCTTATAAATAGAGGGCAAGAGGAATTTCCTCAATCACTCTCTCTCATCCTCATTCGTTCGACTTTAACTCTCGATGCTTGTTTTCAGAAAGAGCAATTTAAGATTCAACATAATCAATATCTAAATGTTCGTACTTTAATCCTGTTTCTATTTTTTTTTCATAAAAATTATTAAACTCTCTATCTTTTTCTTTATCTTAAATTTAAATATTATTTGTTTAGGGTTTAGGGTTTAGGGTTTGACCGACAACCTAAAAATAAAATAAAATAAATCATAAAAAATATCAACATGGTAGTAATGACTTAAATCTTAATTTTAATTTATCTAAAATTATCATGAAAAAATAAATTATTCATTTTGATTGTATATAACTTATAATCTTCATCCCACTACTATTATCATGTCTTGAAATTCAAGCTATCTCTGACCCAAGTTAGATGTAAAATGAATGTGTAGCATATTTAACAACTTTAGCTCACACATCGTTGTAGCAATTTATATCAATAACCAAAAATCTCATCAAAATGGGGACATTTGATTGCAATGGTTCTATTCCTGCTTCCAAATGTCTATAAACTCCAATAAATGTGACTATTTACCTAACATAACATCATAATTAAATGAATATTATATGTGTTATGTTGATTAATTTTATTTATTTTTATTTTGAGGTTATGTGTTTGAGTTATGAAAGTATATGTTTGGATTCTTTGCATACATATTACTTAATTTCTATGTATTTATATTCCTAGCACCGAAACTTCAGTCTATACGTAT